CGTGGCCAGCAGCAGTTCCACCACAGCGGTGTGTTGGGTAAAGGCAGCTCCTAGGTGTGGCTCTGCCCCTTAGCTGCCCCAGAGTGCCCCTATAGTGCTCCCATAGGCATCCTTTTACTGCCCCACAACCCCGTATGGCTTCCCCACATCCCAGCAGATCCCCCCAAGTGCCTTTGGGATGTGCAAGAAACGCTCTCATCTGATGTTCCATTAGGCACAGTTCTTGGTGCAGCAGCAAAGCTCATTTCTTATTGCTCAGATGATTTCCAGCAGCACACAGGTGACACACACAGCCATGCTGACCACGGCAGGGTGCAGCTTCTTGTTGCAGAGTCCCATAGTGGTGGGTGACCGTGCAAAAGGGGAATCCCACCGCTGATGTTCTCCACCCTTCTCCTTCTGCACCACCATGCATTCCTTCCTCCTCGTGCTGCGCTGTCATCAGAGTTCTTTGTCCATTCCTGCTCCAACAGCCCCAGTCTGGGATACCTTTTTTGTAAGGAGTTCTGATGTTTGTTCTGCAGCTGACTTGGATTTCTTCTCCCACTGTCTTGTGAAGGAGTTGATTTGCTTCAGTCCATCCCAGCTCCATTCCTGGTTCAAGTCTCCCTCATTGCCACGCAGCACTGCAGCTCCAGTCCCTTCCCCAGTCTCAGTGGGATCAGTTTGTTCTGTTCTCGTCCACTTAGAGGAACAGAAGCTACCAACCCACCAACCCTTGTGACAGGTATTTCCCTCCAGAAGCATTCCTGTCCTTCTTGTGGCCCCTTTGTCCAGTTCGCAGCTCTCCATACTGTGGTGAACGGCTGCAGGTCACCCCATGTCTTCTTTGGACAGCTCTGGGGCAGCCCCACCCCGAGGAGGAGATGCCTTTTCCTCATACACAGCTGGTTCTATGGCCACATGGGGTGAGGACACGGGGTCGTGGGTCACATAGGGGTTGTGCAGGGTGAAAGAGCTGTAGGTTTATGTGGGGTTATGGGGTGGCTCAGTGTTATGGGGTCAGATGGGGTTATGGATCACAGTGATGGGGTCATATGGGATGGGTCATGTAGGGTGACATGGAGTTATGGGCCACATGGGGTTATATAGTCAAGGTGAGGTGGAGGCAAGGATCCCAGCATTCTGGGGACACATGTCATGGGGCTGCAGTGTGATGGGGGCAGGCAGTGCCAGGGAGTCACAGTGTGATGTGTGGGTATGGTTCATACAGGGCTGTGGGTCACGTGCAGCCATGGGGTCTCGCACATACAGGATTATGTGGTCATCTTGGGTTATGGCTTATGTGGGGTTATGGCTCAGGGCCCCACCTTTGGGCCACGGGGACCACCAGTCCACTCTCAGGAAGAAATAAATGCACTCCAACATCACCCTACACCCCCCCTTTTTACCCCAAAATGCTCCCCACATCCCCCAGTTCCCCCTATCTCTCCATACTACCCCATACACCAGTGTTCCACCTGCAGCCCACATCTTGCCTGCTCGAGCGCAGGCTGTGTTGTCATACCCACCCCATGTCTGCCACAACCCCCCACAGAGCCCCATAGTTCCTCAGTGACCTCTCAGACCTGATACACCTCCCCCACAGCCAACCCGGGACCTCACAGATCCCCACAGTCTCCAGCAGCACCCCGTGTCTCCCACTGGGCTCCCTTGCAACCCCCATATTTCTCCCCTCTGACCTCTCTTACCACCTCCAAGATCCCCCTGAGATCTCACAGACCCTCCACAGTCCCCAGCAGCACCCCATATCTCCCACTGGGATCCCTTTCAACCCCCATATTTCCTCCCTCAGACCTCCCATACCCATTCCAGGTTCCCCCTGAGCAGGGAAGGGGGCCCCTTCCATAGCATCACAGAATCACTCAGGCTGGAAAAGACCTTCAAGATCATCGAGTCCAACCACAACCTAACCATCCTACCCTAACTCTAACACCCCTCAGCTAAATCACGTCCCTGAGCACCACATCCAAAGCGTTTTTAAACACATCTAGGGATGGTGACTCAACCACCTCTCTGGGAGCCCATTCCAGTGCTTCACAATCTTTTCTGTAAAGTGTTTCCTGATAGCCAGCCTAAACCTCCCCTGGTGCAACTTGAGGCCTTTTCCCCTCGTCCTGTCAGCAGTGAGAAGAGACCAGCCCCGCTCTCCTGGAAGCACCTTTCGGATACTGGAGAGAGCAATAAGGTCTGCCCTCAGCCTCCTTTTCCCCAGACTGAACAGCCCCAGTTCCTTCAGTCTCTCCTCGTAGGCCATATTCTCCAAGCCCTTCCCCAGCCTTGCTGCCCTTCTTTGGACCTGCTCCAGCACCTCCATGTCCTTTCTGTACTGAGGTGCCCACAGCTGAACGCAGCACTCGAGGTGAGGCCTCACCAATGCCGATTACAGGGGCAGGATCACTTCCCTGGTCCTGCTCACCACTGCATTCCTGATCCAAGCCAGGATGCCATTGGCCTTCTTGCCCACCCAGGCACACTGCTGGCTCACATTCAGCCGACTGTCCACTGACCACAACTCTGGGCCCAGCCATCCAGCCAGTGTTTCACCAGCAGAGCGTGCGCCCATGCAAACAGTGGGCAGCCAGCTTCTCCATGAGAATGTTGTGGGGGACAGTGCAAAGGCTTTCCTGATGTCCAGGTAGAGCACATCAGCAGCCTTACCTTCATCCACTAAGCGGGTCACCTTGTCATAGAATGATATCATTCTATGTGGGAGGAAAAGAGTTGCAAGTGCTGCACTTCCCATGTGTGTAGAAATGGGGTGGGGAAGTTAAGGAAAACATTTGTCCACACATGACAGAGCAAAGCCCATTAGGGGACATCCTGGGTCAATATCAGTTGCTAAGTGCTACTTTAAATTCTTGTTTAAACCTATTTGTATAGAAATGAACAACTGGACTTTGTAAATGCCCATCAGTCTCTTCCTCTTTAAGCTCTTTCGAGATACCTCTCCAGTTTGCTGCACAAGTTCTGAACACCTGAAGAAGATGACAGGAAGGCACAAGGCACAGGAGGGCTCTTCAGGTTGAAATGAGCCCCAGGGGGCATTTGCTGCTGGGTCCATCAACCTCCAATGCACAGAGAAGATTGCATGAAGTGCTCAAGAAGACAAAGTCAGAAAGAACAGTGAAGTTTCTTGGAGTATTAATGGGCCCCACTGAGGGCCATTGACAAGCCAGCTTCCCCAGGGACTTGTTAGAGCAGATAATTGGAAGCCATGACTGCAGGCAGACCAAGGCACTGGGATGGTGGCTGTGATGCTGAGCAAAGCCTCCTTTGTCTTCTGAAGCAGAAAGGCCAAACCCTGATCCCCAGAGCCTTGGCAGGGAGATCATGTCCCTCATGCTGTCTCAGGGCCCTACCTGGGGCAGTGGGATGGAGGTTTGTCTGATGTCAAATGAAAGACCAGGAGCAGCAGCTCCCAGACTGCATGGGGTGCAAGGATGCTGTGAGGCCCAAGTCCCATGTGGGCAGTGTGTCTCATCCCAGGATGTGGGATGTGAGATGGGCCCAGTCTGAATAAACAATCAATCCCAATGAACTTCAGATCTCTCAGTTCTGGTGCCCTCCTTTGGACAGTCTCCTGTAGTTTTATGTCCTCTTTGTTCTGCAATGCCCAGCAGTGCTCCCTGTGCTCCAGGTGAGGCTGCAGCAGCACAGAGCAGAGCAGTACGATCCCTTTCCTCACCCAGCTGGCAATGCCATGCTCAATGCACCCCAGAGGACATCTGGCCTTCCTGGCTGCCTGGGCACACTGCTGACTCATGTTTGATTTGATTTTGACCAGGACCCCCAATCCCTTTCAGTGGGACTGCTCTCCTGTACCTCATTCCCCAGTCAGTGACTATGTTCAGGGTTGCCCCTACCCAGGTGCAGAATCAGGCACTTGTTCTTGTTATAATTCATGTGCATTTTGTGCTTACCCATTTCTCTAACTTCAGCACAGCTCTCTGTAAGTCTTCTCTACCCTCAATGGAGGAAACATTTCCACCGAATTTGGTGTCATCAGCAAATGTACTCAAAGCATCTTCTAGTCCTGCATGCAAGTCCTTAACAGAAACTTTGAAGAGAAGTGGCCCTCAAATGGAGCCTTGGGGAACCCTGCTTGTGGCCATCCACCAGCCTGATGGAACCTCATTTAATGTAACCCTTTGTGCCCAACCCGTCATCACATAAAGTTTCTGTCAAGCCCTGTGCAGGAAAATTTGTCCAGAAGAATTATCTAAGTAACAGTATCAAAAACTACGGTGAAATCCTCAAGGGTAACCTCAACTGGCTTCCTTTGGTCAATTAGATGTGCCATCTTGTCATAAAAGGATATCAATTTTAATAAGACCTTCCTCTAGTGAACTTGTGTTGGCTGTGACCAATGACAGAGTTGTCCTTCAGGTGTTTCTCAGTAACTCCCAGTATCATTTTTTCCAGAATTATACTGAAGTGAGACTGACAGCTCTGTACTTGCCTATGTCCTCTTTCTTGCTCTTGTTAAAAACTGGAACTATGTTTGCCAGTTTCCTGTCATCTGGGAACACCAGAATATGCCACAGATGGAGCTGAGAGGAAGATCTGGCTCTTGTGTTCTGAGCTCATCCATTTGGTCAGCAGAATGACACGACGTGCTCCATGGAGACAGGTGCAAAAAGCACAGTGGGTGCCCCAAGCACAGGCTGTGGTGGCATTTAGGATAGCCAAGAATACCTCCCTTCTGGCCCTCAGCTGATGCTCAGGAAGGAGCTGTCTGCCTCACAGATTTTCCACCACAGTTTACAAGCACGAGCACACAGCTAGGATCACCCCAGGCACCTTGGTCATCCCTGAGTGTGTGTGTGTGAGCAGTGCAGTCCCTGTTGAATAAAGAGCAAGGATTCAGATGAGGGGCTCACACACAGACACCTCACTGTGCACATCTGAACTCAGCTAAGAGGACTCCCAGCTCCCATGGTTCTGTAGGAACTGATCCCATTTCAGCTCC